TTCAGGACGCACCTGGTTTTGCAAGAATTCGTTGTTCAAACGAATTAATGCAGCATATACCACACGCTTTTATCGGTGATCAAGCATTTATCAATGGTTTTCAATTGAAACAGGAGATACATTCGATTCTGAAACAGCAAAATCTACGAAATCTCGGCTCATCCTCAACCGCCGTTGATCAAGCAAGTATTTTACTTCAATACAACGATCTTCGTGATCCACCGGATGAGGATGTACTGACCAAAATTGAAACATATCGAAATTCGTTATCGAATGAGATGAGAGAAAACGCATGTAGAAATCTGAATATTTGGTACTTATCTTGGATGCAAATATTTGAAAAGAAGTTCGATCAGACGATACAAAATATCACGAAAGATCTGTTCGGTATTGATATAACAAACGAATTTCTAGTAAAACAACATCGAAAAGGACTCACCAACGTGGCAGTACTTAAATGGTTGATACTGTCTCTAGTCGGTGTACCGGTACCTGAGAACTTGGCTCATAAAATTCGCCTTGTAATAGACTTTTATAAACAATATCGTCATATGATCAATGTTGAAAATGTAGAGAAATATAAATCAGATACTAAAAATGGTGAAAAAGTTTCTGAGGACTGTGATGTAGTTATTGGGTTTGAACTAAAGTTCTGGCCTCGTGTAGCTCTAAATCGACTAGCATATTTGAAACGACATAATAAACGCGTGTATAATATTGTCAAAAATTCACCAGTTTATATCATACCAAAATCGTCAGAAAGAAACGTTTCAAGATACGAGGCTAGCTTTGATTTCCGCTTTTCATTTTCAGCAGCTGAAGAAAAGTTAGCACAATCACGATCAAAAATTGAGAATAAACTAAATGAAGTAGCACGTAAAGTTTACTATTTATATTTACGGCAAAATGAAAGCAAGCATGATCACTATATTCGGTCGTATTTCATTAAAACATGTGTTCTATGGTTATGTGCATGAATATTTAAAACAGTATGGTTGTAAACATGTTGATTTCAATATAGGAAGCTCTCTCTTTTGTCCAAAGGAACCAATTATCAATTGGATTTATGGATGCAGTTATGTTCAAATTAAGTGTTTTAACTAAAACTTTTAGTACAGATAACTTTCAACTTCAAGTATAATACAAAACTGAAGCTATTATCTATATTGCGAACTGCGTCGTAAAAGGTTCAATCCGAATTCGATCTGATCCAACAAACAGGGGAATCAAGTCCATGGTGTTTTAATCATATTTCCTTTCTCTTGAGCGTCCTCTTCCCGCAACTGAATCTCTCTATGACAATATCAATAATAGATAGTTTTTATTTGGGCTAGATAATTCATCAATGTATGAGTGATGTGACACTCATACATTGATGAATTATCCAGCCCAAATAAAAACTATCTATTAGTTTATCTACTATCGCAGCACTATGGGCGTATAAATCCTCGTAAAAATAGAGGTCGGCTGCAATGGCGTAACCAGGGATTTTTGGACTGCTGGGCCGTGTTCCGTATAGTCAAAAAGAATCGGTGGGCCTAGGTAGGCCGAACGTTGCCTGCTCGGGCAGGAAATATTTCCAACTGTTGCCAGTTCTGATACCGTCATTTTCGGTGTTACTCGTTCTTGTGGTAATTTTTTCAACGTCATTTTTGCAAGAAAAAATTGAAAAATATTGACTTTTTGAACTGCAGGAAAAAACAGTGAAATTTTCATGTTTGATAGCATTTCGAAATTTCAAAACCACTTTTTTCTTATTTTCCACCAAAAACTGAGTCTTGAAAGCTAATTCTGGTAACTTTAGAAGCTAAAATGGACTCAGAATCTGCGGAGTACAAGCAGAATGGTAAAGGAACTGCCAGTCAATTTTACGGTCATTCAGCTATATAGTCGTTTACCAAATCAAGATTATTCTGGAACAAGCTATTCAACATATTATACTAGTACACTGTCCACATATTATGGTGCAACAGTTATCGGTACTGTTTGTAAGTATTATCTTTTTTGGAAAATTTTGTTTTGTTGCCGAGAAATTCTATTTTTTCGAAATCACTGAACAAATAATGAAACTGAAATAATGAAATAATGAAACGGGCCGTTTTCTCTATTAGAAATCAACTTTTCGACACAAAAAAGGCCAGCTTCGAAATCAGCGTTACAAACTGAGTTGGAAAATATGTGTTTCGGGATCTTTGAAGTAGTCCGTATTGTTTCGATTTTTCTCGATTTTCTTAAAACTTAAAAATAAAACGCGGGATTTTCACTAAAAATCTGAAATTCCCGAAAATACCCGAAACGCAGTTTTCAACTTTGGTTTTAACACTGATCCCCCAAATAGCCTTTTCTTTTGTCGAAAAGTTGAGTTTTAATGGAGAAAACGGCAAAATACGCGCCAAATTTTATTATTTTTTCACTGGTCTCTCGGAAACAAAACAAAATTTTCCAAAAAGGATGCTTAACCTTTTTTTCACAAGTATCGCGATCAGAATGAAGTAAAAGAAAGAATTTTATCTCGAAAATCGTAGGACTAGATAAGTTCCTAGAATTGACCGGCAGCCCCTTTACCATTCTGCTTGTACTCCGCAGATTCTGAGTCCATTTTAGCTTCTAAAGTTACCAGAATTAGCTTTCCAGACTCAGTTTTTGGTGGAAAATAAGAAAAAAGTGGTTTTGAAATTTCGAAACGCTATCAAACATGAAAATTTCACTGTTTTTTCCTGCAGTTCAAAAAGCCAATATTTTTCAATCTTTTCTTGCAAAAATGACGTTGAAAAATCTTAAGAAAAGGAAAAATTGGCCTTTTCCTATCTAAGTCGGTGAGCTTTATCCAACGATGCCAAAAAGAAGTGAAACAAAAATCATGCTATATCTTTGGATTGGCAGCACATTATTTCCCTTTCATGTCACAAACTTTATTCAGGATTAGTAGGTGAAAGAAAAGCTTTGGGCAGAACACTCAGAAACAATTTGGTATTGGGCCAATGCTCAGATCGTGTTGGGCCATGGCCCACTGGCCTCCCCCGTAGTTACGCCTATGGTCGGCTGTATACGACTCGTTAGAAGAGTGATACTGAGCGTTAAAGTATTGCACAACTTTATTGTTGTACATGATATATGACAGAACGTCAAAGTTTACTTTTGCAGTATTTTACTGCAGAAGTGAAATTTGTTCGGTTCTGTCTACTGTCTGTACAAGGATTGTCGTTGTGTGATAAATCTTTGCTGCATATTCACTCATACATTGATGAAATATCAATAATACCTTGTTGATTTTTGATGATTCTTTGTTTTGTTTTTTAGCATCTTCTATTTTGTCCCGCAAGTCGAGTTCTAAAGGGTGGTCTTCTATTGCGGTCAAGTTTTGTCGCCTGCTAGTAGTCCAACGGTAACCTCACGTACTTGAGGTCCGTTCCCTACTCGAAGCACGTTTTGGCGAAATTTTTTTTGAAAATTCCGCTATAGGTAGGTATAGGGCATTTCGGATTTTTTTCGCGGACATAATAGAAGACCACTGGTCTTCTAGGAGTTACAAGACCATGGTCTTCTATTTGGCTTTCAAGTCATATAATCGGCAGTGGTCTTCTAATAGGGGATGGTCTTCTATTATGGAGGGGGGTTTATATGAAAAAAACGTTTCTAAGAGTGCAAAAAGAAACCTATTTAAAGTGAATGAAGCAAAGGTATAAACAATAAAGAACGAATTGCATCATTAGAGAAAGAAATAACACATCCATCAAGATGTAACTGTAATTTCAATAAACTGTTGATAAATCATAATGTTCCATTTGAATGAATTTAAGAGATGGAAATGAAATAAATTGCATCATATTGAATAATTGCAAAGAAATCATCTGTGCATTAACTTTATTGTCATCGTTAGTAAGCGTATTTGTGTTAGCAAAGCTATAAAATGATTAAGTTGACAAGGAGTCAAGCATGCGTTTATTTGTACTAACTAGAGAGAAAAAAAAAGCACCTTTCAATCGTAATCGACAAGTACTAAAAATCTCTATTGTTTTTCGATGCTTCCAATGACTCACACAAAAATCTAGAGAGGTTTACAAAATGACTCACCCTTCTTTTCCAATGGTCCATTCGAACGTCCATGGTGGACAGGCATTTACCTTTGATGGTGGTGCCGGTTATAAAAGCGGGTGGAAACTTCAAGTAATAGGTGTGTTACATCGGAATCCTATTTCGGGAACCATCATACAAACCGAATAAAAGTCAGGTCTTAAGGGTTTCTCAAGATCTTCTTTCTTTTACTCTTTAGAAACTTTTCTCCAAAACCCTT